AATGACAAAAACTACCACTTCTGAACGCATCGCGGTGGCAGCATCATGCTGTGGAGATGCTTTTCTTCAGCAAAGAGAGGAAAACTACTGAGTTTCATGGGAAATGTTTTAGTCAAACGGCAACAAACATGAGAGATTAACTGAACAAGATCCAGAGACACAACAGAATGGTTTTAATTAAAGTATATTCAACTTTTTGGTTACTTTGCAAATTAGCTGCTTTAGTCAAAGTTATGTGTTATACTGCATGTTCCTGGGGAAAACTCCAGCAGCTGAATCAGCCAACAGCCGTATAGTGAGTCATTATTTTCTTTTTTCTTTTGTAAGAGGCTTGGTTTCACGACGAAAGTCAGTTGAAACCTGAAGCCTAAAGGGGCTGAGAGCGGATCTGCTCTCCAGGAAGCGTATCATCACGTTGGACAATCGTTTTAATAACACAGAGCTCGTGCTTTCTGTGGGGGCCATGCGTAAGTCCAAAGCGCCATCTGGTGCTGGCGGACGCAGAATACATGACCACTTCCAATCCATTGAGCCCAATCCGTGCAAAGGTTCTGACCGCGGCGATTGCGGCAGCTGTTAAGTGATGGCGCATTGACCCACTCCCCCCACCTGTGGCTGTGGGTTGTTGACTTTTGCAGGGAGATACACGGAGCAGCAGCGCGGCGCGCAGAGCCGTGTGAGTGTGCGCGTAAAGGAAAACCGGCCTGTGTGCGCTCCGGAGCTCCCCGATCTCAGGAGGCGCCCACCCACCCACTGCTGTCACTCCTAGGTTTTTACTCAAAACTCGTATTTGGAGCTGAAAGAGGGATGTGGAGCTGATTACTCTGTCTTCAACCCGGTGTGATCCCCGCAGGAAGAAGAGATGAGCGGTAAGAAACGTTTTTTTTTTTTGTTTGTTTTTTTTGGAGTAGTTTCTCACTCTATCTGCGCTCAGTGCGTAATGAGGAAATGTGTATTAAGACACCCGGCTTTGTTTTGGTAAATCCTTATGCGCTTTAAACTGGAACAATAACCGATAAGGCGGTTATCAGGGGATCCGCACTGACCTGTAAAGACAACTAGTAGCCCATAAAAATGAGTGTCGATTTTTTATTATTATATATTTCCAATTTAAAAAAAGGCATACTGAGAATTATTTATGCCTTTTGAAACCCTTTTTAGAATCACTTTCCAGTTGGGTAGAGCACCCAGAAATTGTACTCAAGTAAGAAATACTTCAATATATTTTTACTCAAGTGAAAGTACAAAGTAGTCAAATGAGTCAAGTAAGAGTAAAAATTTATTTCTGTTAAAATGCTGAGTAACTGTTGATGTCATCAGATGATGAAACATATAATATACTGTATGCGTGAGTTCTGTCATGTAAAAGACTAAAATGAAATAAATTACACAAATAAAACATACACAAATTCAGTACAAATGAGCATAATTACAAAATAGCAAAGTCAGGCAGAATTTAAGTTCTTTTTTTCCAAAATAAAGGGCTCAGCAGATAGAAAATAACAGAATAACAAACAAGAGGTCTCACTTCAACATAAGCTGTAGGTCTGTGTCTGGTGCATTTTTTTTTTTTTTGTCTTTGGTAAAACTTGTTGGCTGTACAGTCAGTGAACTTACCCATAGTGGGCAGAGACTCTAGAAATGTTATTTAAGTAAGAAAAGCAATACTTCATAATAATATTACTCATGTAAAGTACAACCACTCCTAGAAGTACGTTCTTTTCAGAAAAGTTACTCAGGTGAATGTTGATAGTTACTGCCCAACTCTGGGTATTTGTGATGATTTTTCACTGCTGGGGATTGGAAGACCTACGTACCATCACCCTAATCTTTATGTCCAGACTCTATGAGAGTCAGGCCAGGGTTCTGCACTCCAAAATGTAAGCATTACTTTCAATCAGAAAAAAACAAACATGGCGGTCAGATTCAAAGACTAATATTGAATATTCTAGGGGTGTAAATAATTCTGGGTTTTAGCTGTAAATCACAAAATCGGCTCAAGATATGAGTGGGTTAAACCGCCAGCATGCCAGAGATGGTGACTTAGGGTTCAGATTTGGATTTTAGTCACAAAAGTAATTCTTTAGACTTGACTTCGACTTTAAGTCTGAGACTCAAGTCGCAACAGGCAGCAGCTCTGACACCAATTACCTGCGAGACGGTTTGTTTGATTTATTATCCTCTGACATTAAGGTCGTTCCAGCTCTAAATGATTTAACGTCATGTTAGATGTGGCGTCACAATCTCAGGTTTCTCTTAATGACCGTTGGAAACAAAAATACCACGTCTCACTCACATCACACTCTGTGGCTGCTAAGCTAGCAGCATCATTACAAACCAAAAACACTTCCTGCTTATAAAAAGCCCCACTGTTAGAGTGAAGATTATGTTCATTAAGAAATTCAACATTGCCTTTTGAGTTGCCACACTGAGCCTTTTTTGTTATGTTGCAATTTCTTATTGAGCCTTGAGGATGTTTACATTTCCCACTTAATAAGGGCTTTGGGTGATGATTTAAAGCTCGGTTTCTCAACACTGTCAACGCTGAGAGTCACGTTTGTTTGATTTGTTCAAAAGCTTGACATGAACCAGTGTTCAGATCTTTCTATTTTATACATAAACACACATTAAATACTCTCACGGAGTGCATCATTAGCTTTTAACACATTTTATGAGAACTTGTAACACTTTTTTTTACTGAAAAATCTTTGTTTCAGACATTTTTTACTGAAATAATGACTTTTTGTGAACCCATCTAACCTCATTACCAAGAGTTCTTAAATTCCTGCACTTAGATCTCAAAATAAAACTTATCAAGACTTGGCTTCCTTTTTAAGGCTATTTAAAATTCAAATTTTAAATAATACATCTGATAAGACTTAAGCAAAATGACAAGTTTGCTAGTTGTAGCCGGTCATCTTACTACTCCAGACCTGTGCAGTGTTGGTCCAGTCATTCCTCACTTGTTTGGGTGAAAAATGGTTCCCTAATCTACAGAAATATGTGACTCCATAAATAATATCTTAGCAACAGGAGGTCACTAGGAGCTGGTTTTGTTCAATCTGGGGTTGGAGTCAACTTGGCCAAGATCGGGGTCATAAATGCAGAGTAATAAAAGTCTTTTAGTTGATTATAAAGATATTAACGTACATGGAATTTGATATTTTCTCTACAATTCATGAAAATATTTCCCTTAAAATCAAATAAACTCATGCACAAGGGTTAAACACAGTGGCATTAAATGGAAAACATAACTAAGAAAAACTGTGTAGAAAGATGTTGATAGTTATGTTTAGTTATTCATTAATGCTTCAATTTTTGTCATTTTGTTTCCGCTCAAGTTACATTTTGTCCCATATCTCTTTTTGGATAAATCTAAACAAGAATTACCAGTTTAAGTCTAACCAAAAATAATTTATTTATGCTCATTAGAACCTAAAATACTTCATTTTTAGTGTTATTGGTTGATCTAATTTGAAGTGACTGATTGGATCCATGTGACCATAAAGACTTTCTCCAAAAATCGACTCACTAGTTGACTATGAAAGGCCCAACACACAGATGGGTAAACAACTTAAATGTTGCTATGGCGACTGGCTGGTAATAGGATTAACTGGGAGCGGGTTCCCAAATCCAGTCCTGGCAACCTTAAAACAACTCTGCAAAAACAACGTCGGAGCCTTTCAGAGGTCATTAGCATTCGCATAAGGTCAAACATTTAACTGGTTTTTACAGAAAAATCATTTTTTTTAAATTATAAGTTAATGTGACATGTAACATGTAAATGTTTCAAAAAGACGAGAAAAGTGGAAAGCAATGAAAAACTGATTTCAATTCACATTCACAAACGGTGGTTAAAATTTAATAAATGTTACAAAAACAAAAATATGAATGGACATTATTCATATAGAGTACTTTTTTCGATACTTACGTTTTAAAAATGAAAGTATTTTGTTCTAGTCCTCCTTTCTTTGCTGAATATTAACCAGCTCTTACCTGTTCTGAGTTGCAAAACTGTTATTAATTTACAGATATTACTATATTTTGCACGCTGTCTTGTTTTCAAGGATTCAAGGATTTTTTTCATTCTCATACCACCTTGGGAGTTTGTGGTACAAAATTTGTACTCAGTTCCCAGATAAAGAAATCCACTACACACACAAAATAAATAAATTGTGTAGAGCTGATCAGATGAGAACCGGGTCTGGTTTCTGGGTGATATCAGAGATTCCTGAGTATCCTGAAACGCGCCCCGACCTGCCTGCTGGTTCTGATGAGCCTTTCAGCTGCTGGCACTTAGTCACAGAGTCTCTCAGTAACACACTTGGCAACAACAATGGTGTGATGGGTAAATAGCCTCAATCACAACTTATTTGCCCCCACAATGTTAATCTGAGTTGTCGTAGCAAACAATCAAAAAAAAGGTGTGGGGTGTGAGTTGGGCTCTGGGTCGAAGCGGGGTCGATGGGATTGTGGTTTGTTTGGATTTTTCTGGAAAACGTGGAGGAAACCGAAAACGACGACACATTTCCTACGTCGGACTCCATCTTGAAGCGTTCACTGAAACTTTCTCGTGTCGCTCCCTGGAAGCGGACGGACAGAGAAAAAGCTCCGGCCGCAGGTCGGCTGGAGTGTTTCTAGGTGTGTGAGATGAGTCACCCAATTGTTCGCATTCCTGTGCTCCGAGATAATGACCTACATGCGGTACTCCCTACCACTTATGAGCACAACCCACTGGACCTTTTGTCACTATAAAACAACCAGACCGATGGCTCCAGTCACAGGCTGAAGGGCACTCATTACCGGCATGAGTGACTCAATAATACAAGGCTTTTAATGACTCATATGATTTGTTGTTTCTAAAGGTTGTGGTGATAAAATACCTCTTAACTTCAGTCATTAGATGCATCACTTGGATTTATTAAGGTTTTTTTCCCTGGGGTGATTTTGAGATTTTTCTGTGTTTGTATTTTTATTTAAGCTGAGCATAGATCTCATTAGTTCATGATGTTGTTCTCTGCTTAGTTTATTTTGGTTTAATTATTCCTTATGCTTTAGTTATTCCTGCTTTTCATATATTAGATTGCTGTTTATTTCCCCTCTAGCTCGTTTCTAGTAACATTTCTCTTTCCCTCAGCCTGCCTGCCTGGCCTCCCCTCTCAGCTGGACCCTGTTTCTAATCAGCCACATGTTCTCTGTATCCAAACGCCTCAGTATTGGAAGCTGCAGGTTGTTGAAGCTAAACTAGCATCACTGTGGTTTTCTCTGTGGTTTCTGAATACGCCAACCAATTTCCTTTCATCTCATTAGTGAGATTTCACATTACGCTCACATTCAAAGGACTTTAGTATGGCTTAAGCAGCTCATTTCCTTGATTTTATCTCTGCTGGAAATTTATGGAAGGTGCCTAAAAGCATTTTCTGTGCCGGGAAGCCAACCAGTTCAAAACGACTCTTCCAGTTTTAGTCAAATATCCAGTCAGAAATTTGCCAGAAGCTTGTTGGATGGCGACAGAAGTCACATAGTTTCCATTAAACCAAACATTAATGGGGCTGTATGAGTATATTTGAGCCTCTGTGTGTCATTTTGCCAGGATGGAGTAAATCACTTTGCTTCATCTTGGCATGGGAAAGAAATCCTTTAAAAGCACAAAAGTAGTTTATGGAAACGTCTTCCCAGAACTGCTTCCCCCATAAAGTCTGAATAATTCATCTTCTTCCTAATGCAGCTTAAATTTCACTGTGATTTGTTTGGAAGAGATTTATAGAGATACACACCTTATCAGTCAGGAATTCAACACACTTTTACAATCATTTCAAGAGACAAGATAAAAAAAAAGAGATTTTTATCCACCGTCTCTCCATTTCAGAACATCTTAAGTAAGTGCTGTAAGTCTAGGTGGTTCATCTGTGTTAGAAATACCTGAACTTGCAGCAGTGACCCAGTTTCATGGAAGCCGACATAGAGATAAAGGAGAGCACACAAAAACAAACTTCCTTTATGGGGAATGTATTTAGTCTGGCGGTGGACACGGGCTGTGTCTGAAACTCCCGGCGAGGACAGAAAGAGAGACGTGTCGCAAAGTGGCAGGAATGCGCTTCAGAGAGCCGATGCTAATCAGCACCGTGATAACTCGCTCCTTAAACCGCCTGTTTTCTGGTCCCGTCCAGGCGACACAGACTGGCTGGAGGGCGACTGCGCCCCGGAGGAGGCCCGGTCCGCCCCCCAGTGGTCGGAGGAGCGCTGCGAGGAGCTGTGGGAGCGCGTGGAGGGAGTGCGGCACAAGATCACACGCATCCTCAACCCGGCCAAGCTCACGCCGTACCTGCGGCAGTGCAAGGTCATCGACGAGGAGGACGAGGACGAGGTGCTCAACTCCACGCAGTATCCGCTGCGCATCAGCAAAGCCGGTGAGGGTGGCGGGGGGGCGGCGCTGGTCGGAGGCGTCATGTGGTTCTTTTATGGAGCTGCTCAAGAGAAAACGCAGGATTACACTGCAAAAACACAAAATCTCAGCAAATAAATTTGTCTGGTTCCTAGTGCAGAAATATTAGTACAGTTGAAATAAGACAAAACTAATTTACAAGAAACTTTTCAGCAAGATATAGGAGCTTGTTTTAAGTCAGTAATTCCGTAAGTTACGCAAAATAAACTTTTTTGAGCCTTACATTATATAATGTCGTTCCTTCATCAAAAACATACCTGGAGTGTTGCCTCCAGGTGTGTTTGAGAAATCTTTTAATCTCCCATGGCAACCATTCAGCTGTCCAAAACGCCTGGTCGGCTCTAGCTCCGCCTCCTCGGAGCTGCAGCGTCCAAGCTTCTGCCTCACAGAGCTGCATACAAATATACAGATAAAATATATTTTAAATATTACCTAAGTGCTGATTTTTTTCTGTGTAAGTGAGTCAGTTCATGTCAGTCATTCATCATGTTCATCCTGAATACCTGTGTAACTACAGGGAAGCTGACGCACATCAAAGATCCTAATTACACCGCAGTGAAAACTGACAGAACTGAAACTTTGTTCAGTCAGTTTTGATTTTTGCCTCTGCAGAGGGATTTTGTTCTGACCTTTCTCTCTCTCTCAGGTCGTTTGCTGGACATCCTGCGCGCTCAGGGCCAGAGGGGCCTCCAGGCCTTCATGGAGTCGCTGGAGTTTTACCACCCGGAGCAGTACACCCAGCTGACAGGAAAAAAACCCACTCACCGATGCTCCCTCATACTCGGCAAGAAGCTGTTAACTTTACATCTGCAAACCGTAAAACTACTTAGTTACTGTGGATGAGTAACAGATGCTCTGGTAGATGGGGGGGGGGGTTGTTTTTACCCCGGCTGAAGGTGAACTATGAGCTCTTTGAACTCAAACCTGAAGCTATTAATAAAGATTAACAACTTGAGCTGGAACCGTCGACAAGAATATTTTCAGCTTTATGGCAGAAAAAGACCAAAGAGAAAATATATATAAGAACCAACATAGCAGAAAAATGTGTTGTTTTAAATTAATGTTCAGTTTTAAAATAGGTTGTTTTAGAATAGTTTTCTTATTGTCCCACAAAGGGGAAATTCAGGTGCAACAGCAGCATCAGGTTAAAAATTCAGACAAAGAAAGTTCATAAACTGTTAAAAACAAGATTAACAATAACAATTATATTCTGATAATAATATTAATAATAATAATGAGCTATACAACAGAAAATATACTGCAGTTATTATAAATGTTCAGTGTCTGATTCACTTTTCCAAAAAAAAAATGTAAATAAATGCATGTGTGTCGGACATTTGTAGTTCATCTGTACTGATCTAGCAATATGTCGACAGATGAGGAAGGTCCAGAGGGTCTGACTCAGTTCCTGCTGCTGGAGGTTCGCAAACTGAGGGAGCAGCTCCGAAACAGCCGCATGTGCGAGCGCCGGCTGTCGCAGCGCTGTCGCATGGCGGAGGAGGAGCGCAGCCGGGCCGAGCACAAGGCGCAGGAGCTGCGGCACGACAAGCTGCTGCTGGAAAGGTCTGTCTGCCGCCCAACACACACGAAGTGTGTCGGGGGTTTTCTTTGTGTTTTTTTTTTTTTTTTTTTTAAGGGGGTTTTTTTTCTTTTTTTCTCTCTCTCTCTCTCTCTCTCAAAACCGAACCCGCTAACAGTTGTTTGTGTCTAGGCTGCGTCAGGACTGGGAGACGGCCAGTCGGGAGCTGGGTAAGCTGAAGGACCGACACCTGGAGCAGGCAGTGAAGTACTCCAGGGCCCTGGAGGAGCAGGGCCAGGCCTCCAGCAGAGAGAGGGAGCTGCTGAGGCAGGTGGGTTTGCCGTCACCGGGGAGAAAACCACACTCAGTTCATCACTTTCACCTCCTGGACTCGCAAGTGACTGGTTGAACTTGTTGACATGTGTATGTTAAAACTGCAAACTTTACTGAAATTGTATGCAGCATAAAGCAGCTCATTAATTATTGTACAGTGAAAAAAAAAAAGAGAGGGTGTAGCTTATTTTAATTCTGCTCTTGCTAAATAAATAAAGATTTTCTTGAAGGATTGCTGTTCCACTGGTAGATTGTTCTAGATCCATCCAATAGAACTTCAGTATTAAGGAATTATTTACTAAAAAAACTCCTATATCTTCCTGAAAAGTTACTTCTAAGTCAATTTTGTCTTATTTATAAGATATTTGAACTAAAATACTTGGTAGGATTTTGTGTTTTTGCTGTGTGTCTCTTAACTTTTCCTGTTACTCCTGACTAATATTTCTGTCCCTGCTGAAGAAAACCATCTCCACAGCATAATGCTGCCACAGCCATGTTCCACAGTGGGTGTAGTGTGTGTTAGTTGTCTGATACATTGGTTCCCAAAGTGGAGGGAGTCGAGAAATGATTGTCAGAATCATAGCAATGTGACCCCATTGGGTGACCACATTGGCCGTTTACTTATTTCATTATGAAATAAGTAAATGTGCTGCTAAGCTTCTCATTAAATAATAATAATACAGTTACATACTGCTTAATCATTTTTATCAAAGAAACTCATTTAAATTTTTATTTATTTGTAAATATATAGAGGGAACTAATTGCCAGGTTGCCTGTATTTCTATGTAAGCTGGCTGTTTCTAAGCAACCCGGCTTTGTTTATGCTGAAGGTTGGACTTGATTTTATTTAGGGGTATCTGAGTAAAAAAATAACATCACGGTTATGCACTGCTTACTGTTGGCCTGTCGTGTAAAATCCCATTAAAATTCACGTGAGCTTCTAAAACGTGAACAGGTTGGACCTGACGTTTAATGTGCTCACAGAAAGGAAAACCTGAATATTTACCTGGAACGCTGGAGGCGCCCAGCGCCCAATCAGAGCAGCTGGCGCAACAAACAATCTGAGCCGAGCGCCGAGGGGCACCTGCAGATGTTATCTGCTCCTCTGAGTTATGATTCGCTCGGCCGCATATGAACACAAGCGTTATTGTTGTTATTAGCATTCTTACTTTAGGGTAAAATCAACAACCGCGGCGTTTACACGCAACTCAGCCGATCCGATCTTGTCGACAGAATCATTACGCTCGGTTTGTTGTTCCCGCTTCTCTGATTTGTGTTCTGATCTGAAACAATGCAACCACTAATTGTCTGCACGTATCGTGCCTGTATATATTGGTGGTTACTATAGAAATATACCACAGTAGAAGCAACAGCTTTGCACTGAAAAGAGAGTTAATAAACTTGTTATGACTTCATTTATGCTGCAAATACGCAAAATCTTACCAAGTGTTTTTGGTCTAGTTTCTAGAGCACGTGAAATAATACAAAACTAACTTACAAGCAGCTTTTCAGCAATAAAAAGGAGCTTAATTAATGAAAACAAATTAGTTATGCATGAAATAATACACCAGTGGAACAAAACATTTTATCTCTATAGGAAAAATGTCTCATTTGTCTTATAGCTGTTGCTTTTTGATCAATATTAAGGAATTATTTATCTAAAACAGACTCCTGTAGTTTGATGAAAAGTTACTTATAAATTAGTTTTGTCTTATTTCAAGTGTTTTAAGATATTTGGACTAGAAACCAAAACAATACTCGGCAGGATTTTGTGTTTTCGCAGTGTAATTGTATTCTTTCTGCTTCCAGGTGCAGGAGCTGAAGTCCAGACTGACTGAGGCAGATAAAAGGACAGAAAACGCGGGCGGCCCAGAGATCAACACAACAAACGGCGCCCTCTCCAACGGGATCAATGGCTCCGCACCAGAACGACAGGAGGAGCCGCCGCACCTCACTGATGCTCAGAAAGCAGAGAGAAAGGCAAAGAAGTCCGATCCCTCCACTGGAGTCATCGTGAGTCTGTGTTTATTTATAAAAGAAAAAAACAAAAACTCTTGATGCTCGTCGGGTTTGTTTTGCTTTCTATAAATAGTTTTTCTGCCTATCGCAGGCCCTGATGGATATCTTGCAGCAGGACCGCAGGGAGGCTGCAGAGCAGAGACAGGAGCTGTGTGAGATCATCACCAGACTCCAGGGAGAGCTGCAGGCCACCGAGGAGAACCGGGCCAAGGTCCAGAAAACAAACACACACAAAAAAAGAAAAGAAAAACACTGTGCATTTGCTTCTTTTCCTGTTTCGGGTTGTTGCAAAGTTGTTCCAAAACTGGTTACATAATTTTTTTCCCTCAAAACGATGAGAATGAAACCAACAAAGTTTAGTCGAGGGAATTTCGTGGGAATTTATAGCCCTTCTTCCAGAGGACCAATTCTGAGGTCAGACACTGATGTTGGACGAGAAGGCCGGATTTACAGTCTGTGCTCTAATTCAGTCCAGAGGTCTTCTGTCAGGCTTGCAGTCCTGTTTGACCAGGAATGGTGAGAAGGATTAAATTCTCCAAAACGTCTTGGAAAGCTGAAACAGCAGCTGTGCTTACATGTGCAAATTTCCTGGATCGGACTGAATTTAGTTTGTTTGCGTGGGCGCAAATTAATTTTATACGATCATGATGTGTGTTTGAATGCATCGAGCTGTCTTTTTTGTTTTTTTCTTTTTTCAGAATAGATACACTGACATGGGCAGAGTTGTAAAATTTCCTTAAAAGAAAAACAAAGTTGTTCTTCCATCTGCGCTGAACATAAAACCAAACAAACCCAGTAGCGGTGTGGACGTGTGAACGAACCCACACCTGGTTTTAATAGTGGTGGAGGTTTTACTGCGCTTCCTAATTAAGCTACAGGCTGAGCTTATCATCTAGCCACTGAAGGTGGACATTGCCTCAGAGAGCAGCCCTCCCCCACTCAGCTCCTTCAGACTAGCCAGCAGCAATTAGCAAACCATTGGTAGAACTGCACCGTTATAGCTGAGCTCATTATAGAAGCTACTCCTCAATGAAATTCTGGTAAAAACGTTGTTGAAGGGTTAATGGAGGAATGTTGTTATGATGATTTCCTGAAGGCGAAGTTTCAGAAAAAGCAGGAGTTTTTAAAGAGACAGAGGCCCAAATTCAAGACGTGACATTACAAAGTCGAACTTCTTCTAAGTCACATTTGATATATTTAGAATTTGTATAACGACTGAAGGTAACAAATGGCGCTTTGTGCCTGGAAAACACACAATGCTGCCCCTTTAACTCTGTGACCTCTGTCACCTACTGACCCACTGATGTTTAGCCACTTGGTGACTAAGCTGCTATTTTTAACAAAGGCTCCCACTGTTTTCATGAGAGGAAATAAAAAGACATCATGCCACGAGAATTTAACAGAATGTGTTAAAGCTGAAGCGCAGTGAATGCACTCTATCTATAAATATTTGCTCCGATATTGATTACTTCCAGGATTATTTGAAGCTCTAGTTCAAACACGACTCTTCTGCCTCTAAGTAAAGGCGGTAACGGTGAACCGTGTTTGCAGCTGGAGGATCAGTGCGAGCAGCTGCAGCTGAAGGTGAGGACTCTCCAGCTGGACTGGGAGACGGAGCAGAAGAGAAGTCTGTCCTACTTCAACCAAACCATGGAACTGGAGAAGGAGAGAGACCAGGTGAGTCTCAAGGAGTGGACGGCCAGTTCAGAAGGTTTGGAAGCAGCTCCAGAGCATGATGGTGCCACTGCCATGCCTCACTAAGGAGGATGGAGCCATAGAGCTGATTGGTTTGAGTCACGCTGCAAACCATTTTGGTGCCCATTTCACTAAGAAATTACTGTATATTAATAGGTAGTACTACACATATGAACTTATGATGCCAAATGATGATGGTAGGTTGGAAACAACATATTTTCTTATGTTGTTTCTGTAAGAAAATATTATAACTTCATAATTGTCAAACACTTGAGTATTGCTCACAATTGTAAATAATCCTAAAATATTACTACGGCTCACCTTATATGGGATTATAATTCTTATATAAAGTATACTATATTCAAAACACGCATTCGTTTAAAAAAAATTAATGAAAAATAACATTTATAAAACTGTAGCACCCCCTCCCCCAAAAAAATATTGCCTGTGTGTAAACCTTTCCTAAAGTCTGACCCAGGCCTTCAGTCTAAACATCAGAGGTGAAAGTTAAAAGCTTTGGACATCTGTTAATGTCCAAATATTAAGAGTTTGTCTAAATACTAAACATCATTGTTTAGTCTAATTTGGAAATTAGACTAAACAACGTTAAGAAGTTGAGTAACTATCACTGCATGCTTTGTAAAACCCTTCAAGGTCTGACTGTTGACATTGCAGCTCAGCTTTAATCCTGTATGAAATGGTCTTTATAACACAGTAACATGACCAAACTCAAAAACTTAAAATGAGATCTTCTCTGCCTGGTTGTTAAAAAAAAAAAAATCAAGACTAAACCTTTAACCTGTGACAATATTTGTGTTCTGAAACAGCCGTAAAATAATATTTCGAGGGGATAAAATAAGGACCGACAAAACCTCCAGTCATCTTGGAGATCGTCGAGGTTTTGCGTTCATATATTTTTTTTCTGTCCTTTGATCAGGCTCTGCGCAGCCGAGACAGCCTGCAGCTGGAGTACACCGACTGCCTGCTGGATAAGAACCGGCTGCGCAAACACATCGCAGAGCTGCAGGCCAACCTGGAGCAGCAGCAGAGAGAGCTGGAGAGGGAGCGAGAGCGCTGCCGCGAGCAGATGCAGCAGAGTCCCTGTCTGAACTGCGTGAGTCAGAGCTGGACGCACACGCAGCTCCATCCGGTCGACTCGACCACAGAGCTTTGTTTACACATCGCTTCCTCCGTGTTTCTGTTCCCTCAGTCCCACTTGTCCCTGTGCAGCGAGGACCAGTGCTTCGGCCCCTGCTGCTCCCTGGACCTGGATCTAAGCCTGCAGCCTGTTCTGAGGAAGGTCAGTGCTGGACTCGCTGTTACGGCTGCGATTCAGGCAAACCGTGCAACTAGAAGAAGCATCGCTAAGAATAAAGTGGAAATGATGTGAGGTTGGAGTCATGGTATTTACGAGATGTGAGAAAGTGTGAATAGGTTTAAGCTGCTTGGAGACTTTTGGAGGCAACTGGATCAAAAACAGTCAGTTCTCATAAAAACTGCTGGGTAATTTTATCTCTCTTTTGCAAAAGAAATTGTTTTGTTATTTACTTTAAATAAAATAATATGTAAAGTAAGACACGTAAAAGAAAGGGGGCAGTGTCAAATAAGTTTATACGTCTGCCTGCCTCCTTTTTAAACATATTTAGATGAGTAAATATTGATTTAGACACTTAAATCAATATTATAGTATGTGAACTGTAAGTGTGAATAAAATGTAAAATGAAATAACTAAACTTTATATTAAATGGAAAAGTACATTTTTAAAGTAACGCAGAAATTTATGTCCAAACAAAAATGCTAAAATTTTACCAATTATCCCTCCACAGGTTTCTGTTCTATGAACTTTCTCTGAGCTGAACTGTTTATTATAATACATGTGGATCATTAATACATGCTGTGTGGTTTCAATACACTCTGTTTCTACAGAGTGTATTGCTTTCCTAATATATTAGACCGGATTTCCATGAACCTCTCTGCCCCTCTGCACAGACATGTTTCTTTTTTTTTTCATGCTGTTATTATGTTATGCAAGGAATGTAGCCTCTGAAGAGCAAAGCGAAGTTGTGTTGTTTTTGGGTGTAATGTGGCGTTATGTAACCCTGAGCCTGTTTGTACATGTCCAACCGTCTCACTGGCCCCGAAGTGATGCAACGTCTCTTGTTTTGTGTGTCACAGACGCCCCCTAGAGGCCAAAACAACGAGAACTCTGAGGGTAAGCGCTTTGATCTGGGGGAAAAAATTAATTAGTACATAAGTTTACATAAAGAAGCTGATTTTCAGATGTTAATTTAATCATTTTCTCTAATCACTTAAAGGTTCAATCTACAACTCAGAGGAGAACCTGCTGTCTTCAGTGAGTTTCAACGTTTTCTTTATGTGAATAGTTAGAATCCATGTTTTAACATTTACTTTGGTTTCCTCAGTCTAAAGATAGCGAGAAGGAGATAAACCGCCTGTCCACGTTCCCCTTCCCTCCGTGTGTGAACTCCATCAACAGGCGCTTTCACACGGAGTGAGTTCATCGCCACTCTGACGTTTTTTTTTAACTCTGTTTTAACTTTGTCTCAGCTCACTGCCGTCTTTGTTGTTCTTTTTTCTCAAAGGTTTGATGTGGAGTCTTGGGGCAGCGACGAGAACGATAATATTCCAGGTAGGGCTGGAGCGATTAATAGATTAATCGATTACTGGGGTAACAGTCAACTAATTTAGCAATCGATTAATTGCCAGCTGCCGTACAAGACTAAAAAAAATAAACTAATTAAGTGAAATAATTGAGCCAAACAAAAAACTTAACAAAATATACATATACAGTTTGTGCTTAAGATAAAAGAAAAACACCTTTGTTTGTACAAATGTTTTACCCAAAACTCTTCAAGTGACAAAGTTTCAGCTTCGCCTGGTTCTTATTTATTAAGGAATAAAATTTGGTCATTTAAACAAGGATTTGAGCTGTTTGTTTATTTGCATCATTAATGTATTTCTAATATTGTATTAAAAAAGGCTTAAGTGGTTTAATACAAATAAATTATTTTATCTGATGAATCGATTAATCGTCAGAATAATTGATTACTAAAATAATCGTTAGTTGTTGAAGCTCTAATTCCAGGTATGTTTCCACACATTTGGCATCAAACTGTGACAGTTTTCACATAAAGCATGTTATAAAACGCTGTCTTGTTTTTGTCTGTTTTGTTATTTTAGGGGAACAGACTGAACCGTCTCTGTGGGATTCCTGGACCTCTTTGCACTCCCATCTCTTCCCCCCAGATTTGGTCAACCTGCCCCCAGTTCCTTCTGGCACCTCCAGCCCCAATGTTCCCAGGTAACAAAGTAGGGCATAAAATATAATCACGATAACAAAATTTTACAAGACAATAAATTCTCCCAGAAATTATTCCGATAAATGATAATATTGTTGTTTTGGGAGCATTTTACAGATGTAACGGCAGATGTTGCCTGTACTCAACACCAGCAGTGTTTTGCATGTTGGATAAGAATCCTGGACTTGTACTTAGTTTCATTTTGTTGTTCTCAGGAAGCCACCTTCACCCTGCTCTCCACCTTCAAGCCCCTCCACCTCGCCGAAGCTCGGAAGAGCCAGCCTGGCCGACGACATCACCATAGTTGGAGGAAATCGGACCGGGATCTTCGTGAGCCATGTGAAGGCCGGCTCTCCTGCCGAGCAGTGTGGGCTGAAGGAGGGCTGCGAGCTGCTGGAGGTTCGTCTCTGCCGCCGTAACTTCAGCTTTTATGTCATTAAACTGTAAACGAAAAGGAGACCGTAACGCCATGCGGCCGTTTGTGTTTATGGTGTCCAGCTGGACCGGGTTCTGTTTGGCGGGGCGAGTGTGCAGCTGACTCAGTGCACCGCTGAGGTGGCCCACTTCTCCCTGCAGTGTTGGACTGAGCCCTCATCGCTCAAACACCAGAGCAACCCGGAGGGTGAGTCTGCAGGTTTACCTGACGCAAAAGGAAAACTCAGAAAGACCTGAAGGTTCTGGGAAAATGTCCCAGACTTCAGAGAAGTTCTGATCCGGTCTGTACCTGAATGAAATAGCCGCACCTCGCTTTCTTCAAATGAAACAAAACTGATGTCAGAACTTTTATGCCACTTTTCTCCTCATTTGCGCAGTAAAACTTTCTTTGTATCGCTAATATTTTAAAAATTGTAATAAATATTACCAGAGGTCATTGAAGGTCAACCAGCCAGTCCACATTTAAAAAATCAAGCAAATTTGGTGTCAATGAACTGTGCTACAAAACTTAATTTATATCAAGTCTTAAGAAACCCCGCAGTCCAGCTGGGTTGCACTGACCCCGTGTGCGCCTCTACTTATTTCATTTTTTGTTTTTTTTTGGTGTAGTTATGGGAACTGACTGTCTGATGGGACAACCTCCAGTGATATTTGCCGTGCTCCTCCCTGAGTGTCGTGCTAAAACTGTGGGAGGGTGAATATGGGAGTGGCGGGAAGGACCGGTTGATCTGTGATGACCTCTGGAAACTTTTTTTTTTTAATTTTAAAAATTATAACGTCACAAACTAAATTTTCAGCTGCACAGATTGTGGATTGAAACCATTTTGTTTGATTTTGTCAATGTTTCAAGACTTGGCATGAGGTAGATCTGTGATGACCTCTAGAAACATTTATTGATATCTACAAAATGACAGCAACTGAAATGAAAATTTTTGCTCCTCAAATGTAGCACAACCGTCCAATTTTGTTCAGTTTCAAGAAGGTGGTGGGGAATAACTTCTCTCAGGTCTTATCAGTCATATTCTTTCATTTTTCTCCTGTACGCCAATCGTTCTCCTGCCGTCCGTTCTCAGGCTACTCCAAGCTCCGCTCAGAGCTTTCCTCACCGTCCTTTGCGGGCGCCGACTCTTTCTATGCTCGGGTCAACCTCAACATGGAGCCTCATGGCGATCCCCCGACTTTGGCCGTGTCTTGCGATGACATCATACATGTCACAGACACGAGGCACAACGGGAGGTACCAGTGGCGCTGCTCGCTGGTGAACCGGGAAACGGCCGTACCCCTGCAGACGGGAACCATGCCCAACTACAACAGGTGGGCCAGATTCAAATGGGTTTTAGCAGTTTTGTTAGAAATCATTTGGAAAGACGTCAACTGATTTCAGTCATACTTTATAGTTTTCAAAAACTTTCAAAAGTAAGACACCTTTTCTCTTCCAGGGCACAACAGTTGTTGCTCATAAGGTTACGAAAAATGTCAGTGGAGCAGAAGGACTTCAAGAAGAAGATGGTAGGTCTGTTCCTATTGTAATGAAACTTAGGGTGCATTCACACCAGTCCTGTTTAGTCCACTTTGATTGAATTCTAGTTCGTTTGTCTGAAAACTCTGGTTTGTTTGTGGAGATGTGAATACGCAGTCGAGCTCTGATGCGACCAAAACAAGCAAACTCTAGTCCACCTTGAAATCTTAGTCTTGGTTCAGTTGAAGTTGATTCTTGGTGTGCTTCAATGTGTGAATGTCAAGCGGACTGAAGTCAACTTCAAAAGCAGGACGTGGGCTATAGCGCAGGGTATTCTGGGTAAATCCAACCAAAACAAATGCGGAAGCCTTCCAAACGCGGGAGAAATCCCACAACCATTAAAATCTGAGGCTGCTTCAGTTTTATTAAGGAGGAAATTATGGCCATGTCTTCTTCTGAGGTATTTGTGTTGTTTCCTTTAATAGCTCTTGGTGCAGCGCCCCCACAGGTGATGGGGGGGAACAGGTTTTTCAAAGAGTTTAGTTTGTTTGACACAATGCAGTGTGAAAGCAAACCGCAGCAGCTGAAAATGTAGCAAATGTTGCATTTTTGGTCCCCAATCGAACCGAGTCTTCTGGACTGTCAGGTGTGAAAACACCCTGAGTTTGAAAACGGTGGTAACCAAATTATTGCTGAACCTCTAAATCCATAACATTCCCCTCTGTTTCATTGTGCTTAATTTCTGCAGTTTGTAAAGAAAACATCTGACCGAGTCCGACTGGTCAAGGCGGTGGATCCCACCTGTCGGGGTTCTGCTTCCTCCAAGCAAATTTTTTACACTCTCAGCAAACGTGAGCTGCTGTTCCCAGAGTATTCTCCTTCTATCCGTCCGCAGTGTATCATTCATGTCGGTATCCCCCTCGGCAGGTCATGAGGACCACTTGATCCCGTACAGTCTGGTGAAGCCGGTGAAGGTCCAGACGAAGCGGCCAGTCATCTTCTCGCCCTCGCTTCTGTCCCGCAGGCTGATCGAGAGGCTGCTGCAGCCGGCGGAGTCCGGTTTGAATTTTAACACCTGCCCACCTGGTGAGGGTCATGTAGAAACGTACTGTAGCTTAAAGTGGTCGCGAGAAAGGCTGAAAAGATGAATGATGTTAATGAATCAATTATTGAAATCGTCAGCTGTTTTAGTAATCAATTAATCGTTAAGGGGAGCAAAAAGAGACAGAAAAATTACATTTGCTGAAAGAATAAAATACTCAAAGGAGTAATTCAGCCAAAAATACCAAATATGTATATATTTTTGGTATTTTTACCAAAAGTAACTTTATATATTTAAAAAAAAAACTTTGTAAATAGGTTTGATCCATTTGGTTCAAATTCTATAAGAAGAAAAATCTCCTATTAAGCACCTTTGACTTCCCAACTATTAATTCTTTTATCCAAAAAATAATTAACAGATAATTTCTACACTTTATTGATCTTAAGTCAAGCAGAAAAGGCTGAACTTTTACCATGTTGATGTTGGAAATATCTTTAGTTGGAGACGCATCCTTTATTACAAATGATCAACTGTATTTTTTTTATTTATTTTAGTAAGGAAGTTAATTCATTGTTTATTTGCATTCTTGTGTGTTTTTAATATTGTATGCAATAAGCTTAAGTGATTAGATGAAAAATCTGGAGAATGTGCCGTTTTGTTGTGCAATTAATCGATTAATTGCCAGAATAATCGATTGCTAAAACAATTGTTAGTCGCAGCCAAACTCATAAGCCTTGATCAACACATCAAAATGCGTCAATTAGACAATAATTGTGAGGTGGAATTGAAATTATTAAGGTTTTTCCACATTTGTCTCACTAAGAAACATTCTGTGTGCATTTGAACTCACACTGCTGAGTCAACACTGTAGAACCATAACTACAGTCTTTTAGAGGGTTTATCTCTACCACTACTGCACATCTAGAGACCATTTACCAAAATAACTCCAAATTACTCAAACTCAGTCGAATTTGATGGAGAGTGTATATCAGTTTCCAAATGTTGCCTTAGTCTCTTTACTAAGCATTTTCAAATTAATTAAGTCCCTTAGTTTCAAGATATTTGATTGAATAAAAAATGTATTAGTATGTTCCCTAACTCTCACTTTATATTCTCGTAGCTTTCTCTTGTGTCACAAACAAAGGTTGGTGTGGTGGAGTGTTGGTTTTATGTGTTGCACCAAGCCTCCCATACAAAGCATGGATCAACAATGCTTTCTGATGAACAGTAGAGTTGGTTGTTCTGGATTTTATTTAGGGGAATCAGAGTACAGGAGGCTGGATACCACAGTTTCATTTGAAAACCGTGTACAATTTTCCCTCCACTTTACAAATGTGCACTGCTTTGTGTTGTTATATCACATCCAACTCAAATGAATAGAAGTTTTTCTCTCTTTCCATCGACATGATGCTCTATGCAACAACCAGGCGGTACGTTTCGATGATGCACCTCATTCTGTTTCCCATTTTCAGAGCCCATTCAAGCGTCGGAACAAAAGGACAAAAGGATATTTCTGCTGGATTCCTGCAGTCCAGAGCAGGCTCTGGGAATACGGCTGGAATCAATACAGGATGTGATCAGTCAGGTAAAAAGAAACAACTTGCCGTTCTTTTGTCGCGCCGCCGCGCACAAAGCAGCGCCCAAAGCGCTGCTGAATGCACGCTGTCACACATTCTCCCATTCTCTCCCTTTATCTCCACCAGGGCAGGCATTGTCTGCTAGAGCTGGGGCTGCCCAGCGTCGAGGCTCTGCTGAGGCAGGGGATTTACCCCATTGTCATCCACATTCGCCCCAAAAACAAAAAGCACAAGAAGCTAAGGTAGGCTTTTACCGGTGTCGGCAGAACGAAGCCAGGATGTTACCCTTTAGTGAGTAACGATTCTAATTGAAATTGTCTTCGCGTGACGCGAACAGGAAGCTTTTCCCGAGGTGCGGCGAGGACAGCATAATGGAGGAAGTATGCCAGGCCGAGGAGCTGCAGCTGGAAACGCTGCCGCTGCTTTACTACACCGTGGAGCCGAGCACCTGGAGCTGCACCGAGGAGCTGCTGGAGGCCCTGCGCAACGCCGTCCACAGGCAGCAGGGGGCGGTAGCATGGGTGGAACTTGACAGGCTGCAGTAGAAGAAGATGGACGTGCGCACACTGTTGTATTTAATGAGACGCAAACTTGGTCGTCCTGTTATGAGAGCAGGCGGTTAACCAAAGCAGGATCTTTACAGTGACTGTGATGCAATCAATGTATTTGTGCGAGGAAGTCAGACTATGAGGCCCTTGTGCTGGTAGTAATGGTAACTATTTTACATACCCTGTTATAAATTGTGAATACAAGCCAACCTGTAGCAAATACTACATGACGCAATTTTGCTTTTCTGCTCAGGCTCCTCACTACAATTAAAGACGTGTCGTTTTCTAAAGCTGAAAATGTTAATGTGTGGTCTGTACAGAAAAACAAGCAAGCACGTGTTTCTCAAACAACTGTGAATTCTGCTATGTCTTTAAGTGAAACGTGCTAAACCCAGTGTTTATTGTAATCTTTTTTTATTTTTATTATTCTGGTCACTTTTTTCACAAAAATAAATATACATTTGAAGAAAAAAATCATGATTTTTATTTTGCATTGTAATATTTCTGTTTACTGTTAGCTTAAAATAACACTGAATTTCAATATAAAATAAAAGGCAGGACTTTTGTGGGTCTATGTCAAGATGAGTTTAAATCCTTATTACTTTATATTATTTAATAGTATTAATCTTCTAAGCATAGTAACTTAAACACAATCCACCAGAGGGCGCTGTGATTATAAATAATGCGCTAAGTGACCCAGTTAAGCAAACAAATGTGAAGTTTTGAAATAGTAGTAGTTATAGTAGGGTCTCTGTATAAACTCATTTAAAATGTGTTGATATTAATACCGGTCCCTAAGTAAAATAATATTATCAATTGTAAAATAATTTATTTATATATGTGAATAATATATAAATATATTTATACAATTAAATAATAATATATTAATTATTATAACTGATGGTAGTTACTTACAAAGATGTTAAATAATTGTAATCATCACTATTCTAATAATAATAACACTCCTCTTCTTCGTTCTGAATCAAAACTAAGTAATAGCAGGCTGAATTTAATAAAATGTCTCAATTTTATTGGGCCCCTGGGTGCATTACTAAAGGTAAACGCGCCCTCTGGTGGACCAAACGTATAATTGCTACCCTCGCGGAATGCGCTCATAGCTCAAAGGCGCCCTCTGCTGGTCCACGGCCGATCTCGCCGTGCTCCTCCTCCCCTCTCTGATCAACAAGCAGCCTGGTGATATAATACACTGGCTGAACCTCCACAGAGAAGCAAAATGGCCGATAGTAAACTAACCGATCACACAGCGATAGACAGTCATCAAGAGGATATGTATTTTTTGTTTACAGCTTGAGAACTACGTTTGCGCAAAAAAAGGGTAGTTGCGGTTTTTTTTCCACTTTTTCTACGATTAACATTTTTTCGCCTGCCGGTGATGTCATTTCTTATTCAATTTAGCCTTGAAAGCCTCGAAGAACTAGCTCGCTAGGCTAGCTACCTTGCTAGCCTGCTAGCGGTGGGTCTGCAAGAATATTTGCACAGAAGCACTTTATGTCCTGTGTGATTCCCGAGGTGAGTAATTACCTTTTTAAATGTTTATGCGCTCCGGGAGTCTTTCCACATCGCATATGACGCAGCTAAACCCGCAGCTGTTCCTTCATTCACACGGCGAGCTACAACGCTGTTTTTGGGTAGCTTCGCTTGGACAAACGTCATACAAGTTTCGTCGTATAAATTTGGCCCTGGCAAATGTTGGAGCCCAGCACCCGGGTAGCCTGCTAACCCGCCACTCGCTTGAAAAGCTTAAAAGGTTGTCGAGGGTCTAATTGCAAAATGTGTGTTGGAGGGAGAACGAGGACAAGCGGCATATTGTTTGTTAGTAAGTTAACGTGACGTTGGTGTTTGTCGGCTGCGTTCAGGATGTGGCTGTGCGGAGCCGCAGGGAGACACCTTGGTCCCTGACAGCTCGCCGCCTCTAACCCCGGCTCTGTGGGTCAGAGGACGGTGCTCAGCCGCTGCTTCACGGGGGACCATGTTGAGCTTCTTCGAGTAAAGCTGCTCTGTTGACAGCTACCCCCAAACCTCCACTTTTCCTCGTTAGGGTATTATTTAGATAAGGCTTATTAATTTTTCCTGCGGCTGCTCGCGTGCACTTAAAAACAATGTAAAGACACGTCGTGTGTTGCATAGTGGCGGATTAAACCCACAAGGTACCCAGTTAGCTTGCGCTAGCAACGTAAACATTGTGCTAATTAGGTGCAGCTAAACAAGCTGAAACGGTTCAACGACGGCGGCTTGCGAAAGTAACTTTTTGTCACTCGAGCACAACAAATTCAATGTATTTAAATTGGGTTTTATGTAATAGGACAACATAAGGTGGTACATAGTTTTGAAGAAGGAAAGTGGAACCTGACTTTTATTTTTATTTTTTTTGTTTTGCAGAAAAAAAAGGAAAGTGTTGCATGTATTTCCATTGAGACCACTTTCCCCGCTGATGCCCTCAAATAAATTGCAGTGCTACCAACTCCCTTCAGAAGTCACTTAAATGGCCAGCATGTTTCACCTTTGGGTAGTTTGAGCTTTTTGTAGAGCAAAGTGTTCCACCATCTGAAAATAGAAACAGTGCGGCAGAGCTGGCACAAATCTTCATGTGAAGAGTGACGAGAACAAAAACCGAAAGAAAGCCATTAAAGACCAAAATAGGGCTTTTGAACTAAATGCAAAATATTGTTGTAGATCACTGACAACTGCACACTACCTAAAACACACCATCTCCACAGTGTGAGGTGGAGGTGGCAGCATCATGCTGTGGGGATGCTTTACTTTATCAGCGACAGGGATGATGGATGGAGTAGAAAAATAATTGAAACTGTGGGGGAGGTTCACCTTCCAGCAGGACATCGACCCTAAAAGCAGCAAGAGCTACAACTGGATGCTTTCGATCACAGTATATTCAAACACCATTTCAGGTGTTTGAACGGTCCAGTCAAAGTTTAGAGCTAAATCGAACAAGCAAGAGTCAAACTGATGCTCTCTTTCCAGTTTGACTTAGATTAGATCCCCAAAACTCTGGTTGAGACATACCCCAACGAATAAGGAGCTATGTCCCTGCAAAAGCATGTCACACTTTTCAGATTTGTATTTATTTTTCAATTTAAAAAGTAAAACCTTTTTTCTTTCCATGTCGCATTCGTGCACTAAATTCTAAAATGCTAAAATCCCCCAACATGCATTGTAGTCTGTCGTTTTAAACGACGAGCATTCAGGGGCTCTCGAATACTTCCGCTGCAAACGCCTGCGTCTAAAAACAGAATTTCAATTATGTTGCAGTTGCGATAACGTAAAAAAAATGGATAGTTTTGCTGCAACATAAAACACACAAAAGTATTCTGATGTGTTCACAAACTGAGCTCCAATAACAGGACGTGCTGTCTAGGTCAGTGTAGCAGTTAAAAGGTTTCTTTTCTTGCATTATATTTCTTACAGAGGACTTAAAGGAGTCACGATTTTTATTTTTGCTTCATGAATTAAATGAAACAAAGCTGTGAAATAATTTCAGATCAACGTTCTACTGAGGTCTCAAACTTTTGGGTTTCTGGTGAAATTTTCTTTTAAAAAGAAAATCTTCTCATTGTTAATTTTCTCTCTTTTACTCAGCTGACTCACCTGTGATAAGCTCACATGAAAACTATTATCCTCTGCTGCTAAAACGCGTCAAACGGCGGCGTTTTCAGAAACGTATGAGTTCACACGTGTGTATTTTTTAAAAAAAAAAAAAATTTCCTGCAGTCTGCACTGTCTGCCGTTTGGACTTGCAATGGTTTGCTGGTTAATGAATTATGCAACGCAGCGCCAGAGTACCAAGGCCTGCTCTCTAAGTTGTCTAGCCCCGGTTACCGTTTCTCTCTCTCTCTCGCTCTTTACGACGCCGACATTGTCGGAGACGATCTGATGAACGCGTTGAAACGTCCCGCTTGTTTATGAAGACGGCGCGACTCGGACGCACGTGCATCTAAACTGCAGTGGCATTAATGGCATGAATAATTGAATGTGTGCATTTCTTGTTCGCAGGCAGGAGAATCAAGAAGGGGAACAGCAGTTCATGGAAGACAAGAAAAAGAAGAAAGAAGAGAAAAAGAAAAGGGAAACCTCTCAGAAGGTCAGCCTCGAGCTCCTGCTGTGTATTTTCAGTTAAAGAAAAAAAAAAAAAAAAAACGTAGTTGAGGTGAAATTATATTTTAAGATGGATCTAGAAATGTTTCTCATTAGTCAAAACAGATTCAGTCTGACTGATTTGTCCAGATGATAAAAACAGAAGTTTAATCAGGCTCACAGAAAAGCATGGGCATCTTATGGACGAAAAACTAAACAGTTTATTTTATTTTTGTGTCCAATTCTAACTACTTGCAGAGTTCTTTTATGCAAGTAGGAAAGACATTAGTATTTCTTTTTTACTCAGGCTCTGAGTTGCTTATTTAGCTTTGCTGTATTGGTAGCTATTTATTTTTACATGTGAGATTGTCATTTCCATTCTGTTCTGAGAAAACCCACAAACTTTCTATTTTTATTCTGAGCTTGTGAAAGACTGTAGAAATAAAATAGAAGGAAGTTTAGAAGAGTTTGGTGCAGCTACTGTAGATTTTTCTCCAGATAAAGGCACAAATCCAAAGATGAGCGAAAGATATTGAGGATCTTTATGGATTTCTGCTTGGAATCATTTGAATGTGTATCATTTATGCTGTTTTATGAATAAAACATGATGTTTTAAATTATTTTTTTAATGTATCTGTTTCTTCTTTTAGGTGCCAGAACAGAAAATCAAAGGTAAATGTATGTAAATATTTTTAATCGTGACTTTATTATTCATGTCTTACATTAAATATCGTGAGTAATGTAAAGATTTGCTCTGCATTAACGTGAATAAAACTGTCGCAATTAATTAATCGCACGATAAAATGAGATTCATTATTTGCATTTTATTATGTACAGTTGTGGTCAAAAGTGTACATACACTTGTAAAAAATCATAATGTTATGGCTGTCTTGAGTCT